GGGGGGGGCATTCCTCTACCAGCGAATATGGAATGGCTGCTAGGTCATTCTCGCTAGTGGCATTCGCAAGACATGCCCAAACCATAGAAATGGTTACTTTTCAGCCGTAAAAAGTAGCCGCTCGATCACAGAGGTTTCCCGGTTCACAGAATTCCGTACTTTGACCAGACCTGCGGATCTTGTGCTTTTTTTCATGCAGCCCGTTTTGTCCGCATCACGTTAACCGCATCCATTTTTTTGATCATTACTCATGACGCTTGATCACTGCTGATCACAGAAACACAGATCGATTTCATGATATGCAGGTTTGCCTTATTACTTAAATTTGGCATAATTCGCCGAAAACTCCAGTATCTGTTTCTATCTGCCGGTCGACTTTCTGCCCGTGTTTCATCGTTCATAAGCACAGTGTCCGTGCGAACTAGAATTTTGGTTTCATAAAATGTCGAATTTTAAATTTAGAAATATGGAATCTTAATCCATTTCCCTAACCATTGTAAAATTCGACAGTTACTTATAGCGAAGCTGAATGATCAACCGAGCAAGATTACAACTTATTCGTACCATGTTTTGCAAATCGCTCGAAGACGACGAGGTGATGTCCCGTTTTGAATTACAGTGTCTTCCAACATCTGTACTCCTTTGGGTGCAGACACAGCGCATACTTTCTCCGGTCCATCAGTTAAAATTTTCCATTCCATGTTCCACAGCCTCAATGACGGTATAACAAAAAGCATGTGCCTTTTTGGAAAATATCCTTCTTAATTTTCTTCCATAAAATTGATTGAAAGATCCAGCCTTAATGACTAAGCGATTATTTTGAAAGTTAATTTTCTGTCGATAAGCCTTTTCTTGCTTTTGCATATATCTTAGGATGAGAGTGTAAAAAGAACGTTTAAAGGTTATCACTGTGGTTCGACAGTAATGTCATGGGGATCTTTCTTTTTATGCTCATTGGAGTTCGAAGTTAGCTGCGATGAGTTCGAGTTCAAAGAATTTTGCAGGAGAACCGTGACGGCAAGCAGATGCAAGGAAATAAACATGCCTATTTCCTTTTCCCTTGTTTAATAGCCATGCAAAGCACTTAGTAAAACAGATGAGTACAGTATGTAGTATCACTTCGTTGCTGACTGCTTAAAGTCGTTTTTTACCTGCTTGATGTAGTGCAATATCGCGGGTTATCAGTTTAGGGTTGAGATGACTCATTCTGGAACCGTAGGCACTGGGATATGGAAATTATGTAAAGAATTTTATTGTCTGTTCGATAAAAGGAAATTTGAAAATCTGCTGCGAACACAGCATATACAGGCAGTCAGACTGTATGAAGTATAAAATCAAAACCGAACTTTGAAATCTGAAACTTGCAGTTTCAGCAAAAGATGCTGAAATTAGTCATATTCTGACTAAATTATAGCAATAGCATTACGTGCTATTCTACATATTTGCAATAAAATAGTCGTCTAATCAAGAAAAGGCAGTCAAGAGCTTCGCTCAACATTTTATCTGTTTATTATAGGTGGTCATGTGAAAAAGATGCTTTGATTTTAGATGTGAGGCAAGAGCAAGCGTTACTGTCTGTATATATTACCAAATATGACGTTCGACCATGTTGTCTTCTTCCTGGACATTGTAAGTTAAACTAAAAAAATTTAAATACGTTCAAGAACAATGTGATGGCAATTAAGCAAGGAGAGATCTCATTTAACAAGAATAGTTAGATAGCAATGACAGATTTTAAAAGTATTTAATCTTAACAGTGAAAAATTGAGTTCATAAGTTAATGTTTGTTTTTTATTGTTTCTCTCAACCCACTTGGGGAAGTGGAGGATAGTACATGCGTTTTTCTTCATATTCAACGGTTTTTTTTCTGTAGCTTGCTTTCGACTTTTAAATGTGCAGTAGAGATTCGATAGTAGTGTCTTTGATTTATCTGCTATAGATGCTGGTATAATTTTTAAAGATAATACATTACGTAGAAAAATCAAGAAAATAAATACTAGTAAAAATTGTTCAAGCAGAAGCTGTAGAAGACCCCTACTATCAAGAAGTGGTTTTAAGGTCGCCCACAAAATAATTTGCCGTTATTCGAAAAAGGTCAGCTTCCGTATGTATTCTGTTTTACTGTTAGAATGCACAATTTTTTACTTTTTACCAGTCTGTCATAAACTGGTGCAATGTGAATATTCGTTCAGAAATCGAGTTTGATACGGTATGCTTTAATGCGGTCTGTCACTTGGGTCATATAAACTAACTATGCACCTGAAATAATTATAATTGATGGACGCTGTTAGCGTCTGATTACAGAATGCCAGATGGATTGGCCTCTTAGTCACAAATGACTTATTGCGAATAGCCTGTAGTCCAGTGTCCCTTGTTCCCTAGGGGTTAAAGAACCGTGATCAATCGTGTGATGAACGTGAGCATTCAGAACGACCTTGTTTGCTTCCGTTGTGTCTTGGCGTCTGCGCTATACCGTGAGAACGAAAATCACTGTTGTTTTCACTGTAAAGCTTTGAAGATCATCTGAACAGCCGTTAAATTGCATGTGGGTCCATCGAGAGGGCTAATTACCGTATTCTGTGGCAGCGGCACGATGATTGGTGGACGCTGTGGGGCCAGCCGACAACAGCGCCACTTAGCGTCAGGCTGCGTCAACGACACCGCGCGGT